GATTACAAAAACTAACTTATTATACATATTTCATGTTACACTCTACACTTAAAACTTTCAGTTCATTAACCAGATGATACATAAACCATAGAGGAATGTTTCATATAAAATACCAAAACTGCCCAGCTGGCATGGCTCAGTGGTTGAGGTTCAATGTGACCCAGGTCACAGTTCAATTCCTGGTCAGGGCACGTGCCCAGGTTATGGGCTTGATCCCAGTATGGGGCCTGCAGGAAGCAGCCAGGCAATGATTCTCTCATCATTGATATTTCTCTCTCTCAAATATTTTGGATAAAAAAAAAAATACCAACACTTACCATTTAAAGTTATATTTACTAGTTTCATTAGGAGTGCTTTAGGTGCTCCAAAATAACTATTATCAATGGACACTAATTTCATTTCTTCCTTCATAATATATACACTATATTATTTTTTTAATGTTAATCCTCACCAGAGGATATTTTCCCATTGATTTTAGAGACGAGTAGAAGAGAGAGGGAACGACAAACATGTGAGAAACACATGAACTGGTTGCCTCCTGCACGAGCCTAGACCATGGCCCAGGTTGGGGAGGAGCCTGCAACCAAGGTATGTGTCCTTACCAGAATCGAACCCGGGAGCCTTTGGGCCGAAGGCCGACGCTCTATCCACTGAGCAAAACCAGCTAGAGCCATAATATATGCAATGAAAAACTTACTGACATATGGACAGAAGATACAAAACATGAAAAACAAAGGAAAACACATTTACATACTTTATAGGCAAGCCAAAGCCCGAGAAAATGGAATTTCAGCAATATTTTAAAATGTGACCTGCTTTTATTACATCTTACCTATAAATCATGCACAAAGGCCCACAAAATAAATTTTCCTAGTAAACTAGTTTTGGCAAACTCAATAGTAAAAAATAAAGATGCCTCTTTTGCACAGAAAAGTCCTTACTAAACCCAAGAAGTGTTTTTCACAATATACAAACTGAACCCTAGTTTTGGATGCAATGGCTGTTGATTTGACTTAACTTTATCGCATACTAAAATTTGCTGACAGTTAAGGGACAGCAGAGGTGAGGCAGGCTAACAAAAAAAGTCACCAAGACAACAATATGCTTCAATTTTGAAGACTCAGTTTATTAACTGACCAGATTTACAAAAATAAGCATGGTAGATACCTGAAAGGGAAAAACAAAAACAAAAAACCATTAAAGAAGCCACCTCAATAGCTAGGAATTAACATAAATCAGGAGATTATGAAAGTACCAATTCAGTTTCCATTTTTAAGTAGAAAAAAACAGATCTTCCCCCCTCCATAAATACCCTCAAAAGGAGTAACCAAACCAACTGTAACCCCACTAAATTATTAGGACTCAAACCAAACCCGTATCAATTATTTAGTGGGAGAAGTATTTGAGACTGCATCCCATTTACTCGAGTATTAAGTAAATCTCTCTCGAGTAGATGCTCACCTTAGTTCATCCTTCTAATAAGCCTATTGATCTGGTCTTCCCTGTTCCCAGCATCTCCACCTTCTACAAAATGGGTGGTCTTCTTCTTCATCCCACCACGTGGAGAAGATAACTTAAAGGGCCACAGGAAGTTGTTCGCTTCTTTGAAGCGCTTTCCAACAGTGTAGATCTCATGAATCAGATCTTCCATGCAGATGATGCCATATTTACCTGAACATTTTAAGGTTAAGATATATTTTTTTTAAAAGATTGCTAAATGCTAAATTTTAAGGCACTTGAACAAACACAATTATAGGCTACAATATATACTTAAAAGTCAATAAAAATGAGTAAAAAGAGAAAAATGCAGGCCACAAGATGCCAGAAAATACTAACTCTGTCTAATATCAACTTTTCCCCAAAGAGGCAGAACCTACCAAGAGATCGAGCAATCAGTGAGTTATCTGTCAGGGCAATTCGTTTTTTGTTGATTTTGCCATAACCACGCTTGTAGATCAATTCATTCACTGACTTCAGGTTTGGGTACCTGAAATAAGAAAGCAGACATTAAATGACCAAAGAATAAGGTTACCGCTGTCAAAGCACCTAAAATTCATCAGGCCAACATAACCAACGTCCCCAGTAGAAGTCAAAGGAGAAGGCAGACTCACCCCCAAGCAATGTATGGCTCCACAATCCTCAGCATGTTAATGGAAGCCTTGTTGAGCTTAACGAAGGTGCCGTTGAAGATCTGGCGAAGGCGAAGAAGCTGCAGCACCTTCCGGACCTTTGGGCTCACACCATTGATACTGCAGTGAAAAAAGACCAACAATTTAACTTGGCTTTTTATAAGAATTTTTATTAACGAAGGACAGGAAACCATTACAGTTTTGGACAACACAAGTCCACCCAAATAGACGGGAATCCTCTCCTGCTACAAAGACCACTGGTGTTTTTCCTTATTCGGCTAAATTTTTCTATCACCTCTCCCAACTTGCCCCCTCGCCAAGTGAACGGCCTTCGGACACATACCTAGGACATTTAAACATCCCCTGACCCTTCTGCCACTTCCGGTTTTGTACACATCTGCCATCACACTTGGGAGGCTACATTTTAACGACTTCTCACCTCCAGGACCCGGCTCAATTAGAGAATGGATAGGACCGTTGGGGCACAGCTAAACCATTAAGAAACTCCCTCTTGTGCAAGCTGCCCCCCAAAATACTTTCATCCCAGGACCAAGGCCTCCAGAAGTAATGTCCCGGTTTTGCTGATATTGCATAGTTTTCTTCCCTTCAAAACCAGACTGCAGCAGAAACCAAACAAAAACCAAGCAAACCAAACACGAACTCACCCTCTGATCCTGATGACAAATGCCAACTTGGGCTCGGCGGGGACGTAGAAGTGGCCCGCTTCTCTCGCCATCCTGGCCATCCGGATCTCCGTCCGGTACATCTGCCTGTACTCCTTGTGGTAGTGCTTGGCCTTCTCGTAGATGAGCTTCCTCCTCGCCTTTCGAAGCTGAAAAAGCAAGGGCGACCCATCCGCTCTTTCGCTCCCAAACACAGTCAGAGACCCAGGCCAGTTCTTGAGAAGAAAACGAATCCTCCCTTGAAACGTTTTTCCTGTCTTGCCAGTTTGCACTGACATCCCCCAAAGCAGACAAGACACCGCCTTCATCGGAGACGCCACTTCGAGGAGCTCACCCCGCTCACGGGTAGGCAGGTGAAGGGACAAATCCTGCAAAGGGCACCCTGCTTGCTTGCCACCCCGAAGCCTCTTCTTACACGGCAAGGGTCTAAAAAAAAAAAAAAAAGTTGACTTACCATCTTTTGGGCAAACTTCTTCCTCAGGCGCTTGATCTTCAGCTCCGCGAAGTTCCTGCGCTTCTTCTTGAGGGTTTCTGGCACCGCAGGAACCTTCTTCTTCTTCTTCTCTCTGCATGGACAAGCATTAACAGCTCAGGAAGCGCCCAGCCCCGCCGGCCGCCCCCCCTCACCGAGCACTGAACGCAACTACCGGCACTGGCTCTACCTCGTGGACCTTCCGCTGCGACGGGAGACCAAGATTTTAAGCAATTTCTACGCTAACGAGGACCTTTAACACGGACACTCGCGTCTAATCCACGCCCGGTCCCAGCCTCGCACAACACAAATATCCCCAGCAAAGCTAACAAAATGAGAGACTGCTGCCAGACACGGATCCCGAGACTGTTAACGAGGGCTTTAAACCCAGAAGAAAAAAAAAAATCCCATCACCCTTGCTCAGGCCTCAAGCGCCACATGCTGAAAGCAAAGGACTGGCGGCAGGGACGCCTGGATCAAGTACCAGACAAGGACGAACCCAACTCAGAGGTTCCGTGCCTCCCTCACAAAACAGAGGGGGGGACAACCGGCCGACTCCGCACATTCTCAGCTCTCCCACTTCGCCTCGTTCCCCACAACTCCAAAACCTCCGCCCCAAGGCTGCCTGCATCCCCTGCGAGCCTGCGGCCTCCGCCAATGTCACAAGACGTCACAAACACACAGGTGAGTAGGCAAGGGCACAGGGCACAGTAGGACCGGGGGAAAGTGGGACAAAAGGTCTCTGGTTTCGGGGATGGAAGAGGATTCTCGAGGAGAGGAAGAGCCACTTACTCTGCACCCTCCATGGTTCCAGCCGGAAAAGAGAAAGGGGGCGCATGCGCACTGTTCACTTAAAGACGACACGCGAAGCCCCAGGACTCATAGGTGTCCCAGGATAAGCCAGAAAAGAACTCAGAACTGAGAATACGCCCTGCAAACGCAAAATTAAGAAATTCCTGATTCAGTCTCTTAGGATCAAGTTTAGGATAAAATTTGTATGGGGGAAAAATGTGTATCGATTAAACTCTTTAATCAATATGAGAGCAAGGAGTGCTGACACCTTGACTAGTCCTTAGGGTGCGTTAACCCGGTGCGGATCGAATTCCACCCAGTAATGAATGCAAATGACACGCCACCGGTGCGAACTACAAATCCCAGCATGCATCAGTCCTAGTGCCTGCCCGGCGGGAGGGCGACGTTTGGCCGGGACTGCAGGCAGCCACCGCGGTGGTGGTTCCAGTCAGGGAAAATGAGACTCTTTTGGCCCACGATGTAAAGGGCTAGCTGAGATTCCAAGTCGCTCCCGAGAGCCGGTTTTAAGCACCTTTTCGGCTCTCTGCCAACCCCAGTCACAGCCTCCAGCGCCCCAGTTGCCGCGCGGCCGAGGTCCTTCCGTTCCTCCGGCCTGAAGGGCTGTCTTCCGCAGCGCCTGATTGCAGGCGGAGCCGTCCAGAATGACCTGCTTAACCAAAGTGGCGAGAGGGGCACAGCGAAGATCGGACGCCCGGAGGAGGATGGCCGGGGCGCTGCCGACAGCCGGGCCTGGCAGGCGGAGGCCCGGACACCCCACGGCAGGGGGCGTGAGCCGCGAAGGGAGGTGCGACGAGGGCTGGAGGCTGCGGCCACGGCCATGTGAGAGGGGCTGCCCCGCCGTGGTTCAGCGGACTGCGGGCGGGCGGGGGGCTGGGCCGGGGGCGGGGTGCGCCCGGGGGCGGGGTGGGCCGAGCGGAGGGAGGGCCGATGCCGCCTCTGGCTCTTCCCGGTCGCGGGTTATATAGCGCGGAGCGTGGATCCCGCTCAGAGGCGGTCGGGAGCGCTCCGACTTGCGAGTGGCATTTCGCTGCGGAGCCCGGTGCCGGAGTGACAGCCTCGGAGCGTGCAGGGGCCCCGAGACCGCGGAGCAGCTGCCAGCGGCCGGGCAGCGCTCGCCGGCGCCGGGCGAGTCGCCCCTTCCCGGCTCTCCCGCTGCCCCGCACCCCACGCTGCCACCCGCTCGCAACTTGGGTCAAGTTGACAAGTCCCGCGGCGGCCCGCCGGCCCGAGCCGTCTCCGCCGCGCGCCCCTCCCCCGGGGTGAGAGGGAGCCGCCGCGCCGGCTCCGGGGACGCTCGGGCGGCGGCGGCTTGGCCATGAGGGCAGCGCGCGCCGCCTAACTCGCGGCTGTCACCGCCGCTGCAGCGGGACCGGCCGGCCAGGCGGGCGCTCCGGGGCCAGGCGGGCGGGCGGCCGCCGGCAGGAGGCGCCGAGCCGGGCAGCCGCCGCATCGGGCACCGCTTGGGCCCCCGCGCCGAGCCTGGGCGGGAGTGGCCCCCTCGCACCCCAGCCCGGCGGGCACCTCGGACAAACGCCTTCTAGTCCCGGCCGCTCGGACAAACGCCCCGGGGCGGGGAGCCCGGCTGCAGCCGGCGCGGGGTGGGCGCGGGCGCGGGGCTCGTGCGGGCCCCCGGGCGTCGCGATGAACATCGTGGTGGAGTTCTTCGTGGTCACTTTCAAAGTGCTCTGGGCGTTCGTGCTGGCCGCGGCGCGCTGGCTGGTGCGGCCCAAGGAGAAGAGCGTGGCGGGCCAGGTGTGCCTGATCACCGGCGCGGGCAGCGGCCTGGGCCGCCTCTTCGCGCTCGAGTTCGCCCGGCGCCGGGCGCTGCTGGTGCTCTGGGACATCAACACGCAGAGCAACGAGGAGACGGCGGGCATGGTGCGCCACATCTACCGCGACCTGGAGGCGGCGGACGCCGCGGCGCTGCAAGGTAACCCGCACCCGCGCCGCCCTCGCCCGCATTGTTGAGTCCAGCCCCTCCCCGGCCCCGCACCCACCGGGGAGGGGGGCCCGAACCCCACTGCCGCGGTCAGCCTGGCTGTCCTGGAAGAGACATGCCCTTCTTCCCCCCACCCCCCATACACACACCTACACGGCCCCCGCCCTCCCCATCAAGGAGCGCGATCGCCTGTGTTTTAAAGGGACGTGTGCCAAACCCTGGTCTTAGCCGAGGTCCGGTGTCTCTGAGGACGGGGAAGGCCGAGGGCACTTGTGTCCACAGGCTAGAATCGTAGAGAAATGCCCCCATCGCCTTGGCGATGGGAAACTTGTCTGGGAAGTTGTTCTCGGAGCGGACAGATGCACGTTTGGTTCCTGTGGTCTGAGCCTCGTAGACGAGGGCCGCGCTGGTTTCACTGTAACTTTAATCACGAGAAAATAATTACATTGTGTCCCCAGAGATAAGTACGTACTTTAGTTAGACACTTAGCCTGATGGAAAGACGCGCTGCACCCGCTTCTTGAGACAGAGCTTGAATGACTTGAGCCCTTCGGAAAATTTTTTCCATGTTGTTGGTAGCCTCGGGAAATCTGCGTTTTTGTATATTTTTCAACTGACCTGAACCTGAGACTTTAAAAACAAACAAACGTGGAGACCACCACCAAACCTAAGTATTGATTAGGCCAGGAAATTTGACAGTCACTTTTGCTTTTTAACAAGATGTTTGGTTTCCAGGGAAAACATTGAACTGTACAGAGAAGATTAACTTGGGCACCACCCCTCCCCCATATTGATCATTTGTCGCCAAAATTATTGGCACCTGCTGTTTAGGTCAGAAAAATCAAAGGTTAAAATGTTACATTTTCAGCGATGGTTTGGAGGGCAGCAAATACAGATTTTTGTGCTCCCTGCAAAAAGAGAGAAAGCTATTCGTTTTCCAGGGCAGAGATTGCGGTTTTTAAATTGAGTTCTCGGGTGATAACATGGCATAGTTACCTGTGAACTTGATTTACGTAAGGGTGCTATGCCAGTCCGAACACACCAGTGTGCACTTTTCCTGAGAAACTCTAGGATCATTTATTGGCTTTGGATGAATTCAGATTATTAGTTACAGCGTTGATTTGTGAGCCTTGAGGTGCGTTTCCATTTTGAGGGTGCTCATACTAAAAAGTAAAATCCACTTCTGGCCACTGTCCCGCCCCAAGAGGAGTGTGTACTGTGTGTGCCTGGGAGGAGGGGTGTTGCTCCCTGGGCCCAGATCAGTTCTTTCCAGGTGTCTTTCGCTCCAGGAAGCTGGTCCCATGAGGTCTGACTTGTATTGGGCTTGTCACAGTTACATGATTTCCCCCTAAGCAAAGCTCTCCAGCAAATTGCTGTAGTTCCCCAAGACTTTTCAGGGAGGGAAGCAGCTGTAAGCCCAGCCATTGGCAAGCCTCACGGTGTTAGAAATCTGAAGCTCACTGTAGAATTTTTGTTTTGTGTGATCTTTGTCCTACTGATTGCCATGTGACTCACGTTTTGCAAACCCCCTCCCTTCTCTGTTCCATTCCCCCCGCCCCTCATCTGGACTTCTGAGGACAGCTGGGAATGGCGAGGAAGAAATCCTGCCCCACTGTAACCTGCAGGTGTTTACCTACACCTGCGATGTGGGAAAGAGGGAGAATGTCTACCTGACGGCGGAAAGGGTCCGCAAGGAGGTTGGCGAGGTCTCGGTCCTGGTCAATAACGCCGGCGTGGTCTCTGGGCACCACCTCCTGGAATGTCCTGATGAGCTCATTGAGAGAACCATGATGGTCAATTGCCACGCACACTTCTGGGTAAATATAAACATCCTCTGTTCCTTTCTGGGGCCTCTTCCATGAGAAGCGGGGGACGGAGAGAAGCTTCAGTGCCAGCCTGAAAGCCACCTGCACACTCCCACCTCAGAGCTTCCTTCTAAGCACTGTTCCCGGCGGCGAATTACGTCGCTCACTCACCGGTTACTGTTAAATCGCTGTTTGCTTCCCGCCCCCACCCCCAATTCAGCATTTCTTGAGAGGGTAGAGGACTGAACATTTTGAACTAGTTTGAAAGACTGCCATAAAAATAACAAGAGGAAGCATAAAATCCTGGGTTTGTTTATTTTACTTTCCGTTGAGTTTGTAAAACATCGGCTGTTCTTATGAATTCCTAAAGTCAGAGTTTAGGCTTCCAAATTACTGCTCGGCCGCATTTTGGGAAGTGCCAGAGATTCTGAGATCAGCGTTTGTGGTCCCTTGGGCGCAGTCAGGCCACCCTGGCAGGCACTTCACATCATGGACCATCGCAGGGTCGGGGCACTGTCCTGTTGGAGTCCATCTCAGCTTAGAGGAGGCCTCGCAGGAGACAGAAGCCACCCTTATAGGACCACAGGGTCCCTACGTAGGGGCAGGAGGGTTGTGAGATCTGGGGGAGCAGACACTTAGACCATCGAGGACGTCAGCTCCTGGGTGATGGGGAGAACTTCGGAGCTCCGACAGCGCCTGAGGGTGAGAGCGAGGGCTTTCCACTGCTCGAGGGACCAGACTAACCCAGTTTTTCAGCCGAACTGATTCAGTAATGGTAGGTGTGAAACCCTCCCCTGTAACTGTGCATGGTTGACCCACTTTCTGCTTTACTTCCCCAGAGTATTCCCCCTTTACTTTTGTAGAGAAGTGGGGTCCGATAAAGAAAAGGGTAAGGAGAAAGGACTGTGTGTGTGTGTGTGTGTGTGGTGTGTTTCCCATAGGCAGATTAGCTTTCTAATCGAACACAATGAAGAACTGTGTCTCCTAAATAGGTCACCTTAAACCTCACTAGTTTTTTAGCAACTGCTTAAAAACTTAACCTAGCTTTAGAAGTACTTAAGTCAAGTGTTGCTCTTTTAACAGCAAACCATTTCTTTTATCCTGGAAGAAGCTTATACATTTTATTTTCAAACATGAACTTTATTTAATTCATTTTCAGCCCTCTAGAAGTGAACATATCAACGTTGTGGGTTAACGCATGTCATGTTTTAGAGGAGGAAGGAGAAGACCAGATGCAGTCTGGGGGCATTAAGTGTGCTTGTGTGTGTGTGGAGGTGAGCAAGCGTGTGATGTGCGCAGTGGGGGTAGGGGTGGGTGTCCTTGCTGCCGCGGGTCCACAAGCGCAGTGGCAGGTGACGGGTGGGGCAGACGAGTGAAGGCCAGTGCAACTGACAAACTGGGCAACACAGCTTACCCAGAGTCTCGTGTGCTTATAATTCTGAGTGAAGCAGTCTCCTTAGCGATAGAAGATGTATATACATTGCCGGTGGACTGTAGTTTTCCTGTTTGAAGAATGGTAAGGGTGAAGCTGCCATGGAAACTTGAGTTCAGTCAGCTATTCATCCTCAACAGGTATTCAGTCTTTGGGAGGCTAGTTATGAACCCCGGCACCGGGTCTGGCTTTTTCCGATAGCCTTTGACGGAGCTGATGCTCGGTTTCTGAATTCTAAACGCTTATCTACACAAAATACTCTAAAGCAGTGGTTCTCAACCTTCTTAAGGCCGCGACCCTTTAATACAGTTCCTCATGCGGTGACCCTCCCAACCATAAAATTACTTTCATTGCTACTTCATAACTGTAATTTTGCTACTGTAAACAATATGTAATTTTATATGTTTTCCGATAGTCTTAGGCGACCCCTGTGAAAGGGTCGTTTGACCCCCAAAGGGGTCGCGACGCACAGGTTGAGAACCGCTGCTCTAAAGTCTAACCACTTACTTTCTCTGCGTGCTCATTTTGCTGAACTATAAAATTTCAAACGCAACCAGATTTTTCCAGAAATCCCCTATGATCTGCAGTTAAGTACTTATAAGAGGGAAGCGGCTCTTCTTCTCTAAACATCCTATGAAACGAGAGCTAATTTAGTGGGTGTTAAGCACAGAAAAGCCATAGCTTCGGCTTTGAAAATACACATCAATTAATGTACTGTACCTAAACATTAGGCTGCTTTCTAACCTAAGGAGAAAACCCAGTCACCTCTCCAGTAGCAGGATTATTGTGGAGCGGAATCTGCTAGTACACAGCACGCAGGAACAGACCACCTTCCCAGAGGCCCTTTGAGATGTTGCCTAACTCCACAATTTAGGGAGTTCTTGGAAGCCTGGACCGTATGACGTCACTTCATATTAAAATATGGGAGGCTCCTGAGTTCTCCAGCTGTTTTTCCCCCAAGCATCTAAACTTAAGAATTTATTTTCAATATTGAGTTAGAAAATTCGCTTTCTAGTTAGCATTTTTCACTTCTTGCCAAGAAACCTTTTAAGATCTAGCAACTAAAATGTAAAAGAAGACTTACTATCATGTTAATTTTTACAGTGATTCTTTGGGGGGGCGGGGGGCTACATAGCCTAAGAGCCACCGGAATTCAGCTCCCCTTCCAGTGGCCCCTCTTAGAGGAAGATGTTTCTGGTAGCTGTTCAGAGATGTTCAGTGTTGGCGTGTGCTGTTCTCTTCCAGAAAAAAATGACCAGTGTGCCTTTTGACTGTATGCAGGTGGGGAAAAGTTGTCCCAAACATTTTTTAAAAGTAGATCAGCTGAGCAAAGACTTGTCCAGTCATTTGAACAGATTGTCTTGAGCCAGACTTTTAAGTAGCAGTTGTTGGTGGTTTTCATAAAATAATCAATAGCATGCAGTCCTGACCCCGAGTGAAAGTCATATGCAGTTAAATAGAAAACCACGTGGGTGTCATGTGGGGGTCCACCAAAAAGCTGCTGCTTGCAAACCATTCCTCACTCTCTTCCCCCGCCTGGAAGGCCCTCCGCCCCTCCTCCAGCGGCCTTTGAAGGCCTCGCTCAAGTTCTTGCTGTAACCTTTTCTGGCGTTTTTGCATATTAGAGCTGCAAGTGTCCTTAGAGATCATCTTGTCCAGCCTCTTATTTTCTGATGAAGCTACAGCAAAATGACTTGTCCGAGCTTTCTCTCTTCCTGCCGTGAATCTCTTGCAGCCTCGCACAGTCTGTGTTCTTTGGTGCAACTTTTTATACTTCGTGCTCTGAAACCCGCAGTAGATGGCACACAGTCTGAAGGCAGCTTATTATATGCATCTGTTTGCTTTCCCCCTCCTGGCACAGAACTTGAGTCCTAAGCCACTCAATAAATGTTTGATAATCAAGGCCAGGCTTCTGCTTAAATATTTAGATCAACTCTTCAGAGCATGCTCACATGGGTCTGTCCCCTGCAGCTTCCAAAGGTAAGCATTATGCTGGACTAATTGAAGCTGGGAACGATCGATGAGACTTCACAGTGGGGCTGTCTCCCGTTTGGTACCGTGCGCATCTCCTTTTGCTTTCCTGCAGTTTTTCCATTCTCCCTGCCCCACCTGTATGCTCATCTTTACTGTAGTGCAGTAAGTCTGCTCAGTGGCACGAGGCTGGCAACTTTGAGAGGGCTGGTGTGAATATGCGAATTGGAATCAAGCTCAAGTGGAATGCCTGGTGTCCATTCCCATTTCCCAGTGACCAGGCCTTGAGGAGAGGACTTCCTCTCCAACTGCTTCCTTGCTTCTTGCTATTCCCATGCACGTTGGCGGTTTTTACCGGACGTGGCACTGTTCTGCACAGCCCTCCTGTCTGCTGTGATACTTCGCCCTTTACCCTCCAGTACTCTTCCATCACCAGGAACCTTCCTAGGAACCTTCTCTTGGTCACCAGTCAAGAAGTGATAGATTGGGGGCAGGTCCTAGTCAGCATAATCTGTTGTGCACCCATTCCGGTGAGGACGAGACCATGCAGAGTGTATACAATACCATGCCCTTTGTTGGTCATTATCTCAGGTTCTCTATATTTTGGTGAGAAATATAGAAAGTTGGCTTTCATACAGGAACTGCAAACCCATGTTTCCCCCCAAAATATTAACATGGCTTCACTTGTTATTTTTAAGCATAGAGCCTTAGCTTGCTGTTTCTAGAAGATAGTTTATCCGTAGATCCTTCTTAACCAAGGAGCTGCATCTGGCCTTTCGATGTGAGCAGCACATTGATCCCTGATTAACCAAAAGGGGGAAGCAAAAGCATTTAGCTGCAGGCCTTTTATGTGCAGGAGAAATTTTGCATCGCAAAGGACTCAATCTGTCACATAGCTAGTTGGTAATTTACTTCTATTGATATGGTAGTCAGACAAGATAATTGGTAGTTAATTAATAGACCACTTAACTTAAAAGGTTTCACAGTTTTAAAATACTAATTACTGAATTAGGCATTTATCTATATCCAAATGTCTAAAGTCTATTTAGTTAAAATCCATCCAGGAAAAGTAAAAGCCCACCAGGAGACCTGAGTAATGTAGCACTTAAAGACATTAGTACCTAGTATCTCATGAATGGCCCCTAATTATTAACGTTCAAGCTTTTGTGTGTGTGATTTACTAGTTTTTAATCTCAAAGACTGTAATCCTCTGTTCTCTGGTTAGAGAAACCTAGTTTTGTTTAATGCTTCTTAGATTTAGAATTTAAAAAAATATTTCTAAAGTATTCATTTAAAACTGTATAGTCAATGCTTCCTCCTCCAAACCATAATATTGAGAATTATTAGACTGCTAGAGGTGCATGAAATCTGTGCACGGGTGTGGTCCCTAGGTCTGGCCAGCGATCGAAGCATGAGCGTCTGGTATAGAAGGGCAGGTCCCAACTGACCTCTGGGCCCTGGGCAGCACCTGGGCCCCTGCGCCCCCACATGCCCCCCTCCGCCTGAGTCACGGTGCCCGAGTCCCCAGGTGGAGATGCAGTGAGCACAGCTGGATGCTGCAGGCCAGGGTGCAGCGTGGGCCTTTGGGCCACCCAGCGGTGCCACACGG